TTTTGTATCGACTTTGCAAAAGGTGGGGTGTTTATTTATTATGTTCTCTAGTTATCTCGTTAATTTACCATAAAAGTTACCCGACAAATCACATATTATAATACAATCATATACTTTACTCCATTTATTAAAGACTAAAACAATGTGTGTGTCTATAGAGAGAGAGAGAGAGAGGAAAATCCATTCTCTGCAGGTTTTTCTTTGGATTATTCACTTTCATTATATCGATTTGGAGACAGTTCAAAAATAGCAACCCAATAATTTTCTTCTTTGAATAGACATGAATGGCCAAATTTCTCGTCGCTCTCCATTAATAGCACCTTGACTTTACACACTGATTTTTCAAATGACACAAAACTTAGGCCCCATTTCACTAAATGATGGCCGGCCATGGAAGACAAGCACTAAATGCAATTATGCAAATTTGCAGTATTTTTCAAAAATGGTTAGTTAAAGCTGCCCTGATAATGACAATTGACTTAAGATGAGAGTGACAAATTTTACATTCATTCTTGGGATCTTTACAAAAAATTTGCATCCCCTCAATCTTGAATCTACTATTCAAATATACTAAAACAATTACACTTATAACAAGTATTAGTCGGTTTACTAATCGACCCGAGTTTAACTACTTCTAGAGCCCGGGTTAAAAACATAGATAGCCCTCAAACCATGCTTTCATGATCACAATTATTATAAAGAGACGGGAATATCTTCCCATCCTTTTGTGCATCGTTAGGAATGTTATCGGCCAACACCTGCAGCATCTTGACAACTCTGCGCATTGAAGGGCGGTTCATTGGCAAGGAACTAGTACATAGTAGGCCGATATCAAGTACCCTGCAAATGTGTTCTTTGAATTCTGAATTGAGATTGGGATCCAGCACGTGATCGATACCTTTCTTATCTAATGTCAAGCGTACCCACGTAGCCAGATCTTTTTCCCTGAAATCTGGATCGGTTGGAGCTCGGCCTGTCACCAGTTCTAGAATGACTATGCCAAAGCTGTATATGTCGCTCTTTTCATTCACTCGAAGTGTATATGCATATTCTGAACACAATAAAATTCGACCAATTGTTAGCATCATATGTCATTAAATATAATTTGTGACATAATAGAAAGGAGTACCTGGTGCAATATAACCGCGAGAACCAGCAATTACAGACATGGATTCGACGCCGCGATTTACAGTCTTCAAAATCTTTGCTACACCAAAATCAGAAATTTTTGCTCCAAAATCTTCATCCAACAGTATGTTGTTGGGTTTAACATCGCGGTGTACAATTGAAGGAACACAATCGTGATGCAAATACGAGAGTCCTTCAGCAGCATCCAACATAATCTTGAACCTCGTCCACCAATTCAACAATTTACTCTTGTTAATATGCAGTAAATCGCCTAAGCTCCCATTAGGCATGTATTCATACACCAGTAGCTTGGAACTCCCTGTATTGCAACAACACCATAATCTCACAATATTCTTGTGCCTAACCTTTCCCAGTGTCTCGACCTCAATTTTAAACTCGTCTTTCTCAGAATCTATGTTACAAAAGCCGGTTTCATTTCTTTCCCACAGCTTTTTTACAGCAACTGTCTCACCATTGCTAAGATCAACTTTATACACTTTACCAGATGCCCCCCGTCCTATCACATTAGCTTCTTTAAGGCAATCACTTATTTCGAATTCGCTAAATCCTAGCTTATGAAATGAAGTCCACTTAGTCATAGTGACACTTTTATTCGTTTTCTTGACTTTCTTGTACTTCCATACGAACCAAACAACTCCAACGAGAAAAACAAGTCCGGCAATCATGAAGACAGACCTTAATATCCACAAAAAGACTCGATTTTTGTTTTCACCTTTGGGATTACATGAACCAGCAACATGACTACACAAACCCGGATTTCCAAGAAAGCTATCCCTATAAACTCCCTTAGCAAATATAGGAGGCACTTCCCCAGAAAGTTGATTATTTGACAAATTCAGTGTGTTGAGCTTCAAATTTTGTAGTGAACGTGGGATACTACCGGAAAATGAATTCCGAGAAAGATCAAGGTAATTAAGCACCGATATGCTCCCAATTTCATCCGGGATTTCACCAAATAACCTATTGTTAGCCAGATTAAGCTCATTGAGCTGCTTCAAGTATCTAATTCCCCTTGGAATCTCCCCGGAGAGATGATTGTTACTAAGATCAAGCTTTCCAAGCAGCCCTAAGTGTACCAATGAACTCGGGATCTCTCCACCAAGATAATTGTCGTGTGCAGAAAGCTCGATCAAATTTTGCAATGATCCAATTTCGTTAGGTATACTCCCCGAAAACATGTTTTTCGAAATTGAAAGGGTAGATAGATTTCTTGCACCAAAAATCTTGTGTGATATATTCCCCGAAAATGCATTGCTATCAAGGTCTAGCAAATAAACGCGTGGCAAGCCCCAAAAGTCAGCCGGAACTTCTCCGGAAAGCCGGTTACTCCGCATCCGAATCCGCATTAATCTCCAGCATTTCCCAAGACTCTCCGGAATATTCCCAGAAAATGAATTGTATATCAATACAAGCTCCTCCAACGCTCCTCTTTGGCATAAATGTTCGGGTATCTTACCCGAAAGGTTATTATATGAAACGTCCAATGTTTGTAAAGCTGAATTCTTACCAAGTTCATTCGGCAGTGACCCAATAAGATGATTTTCGAATAATCTTAGTTCGTATAAATTTGTGGAATTGGCAATGCTTTCTGGGATTTGGCCGTCAAGCTGGTTCTCATATAAATTCAGTGACTGAAGCGGCAACTCACACAACTCATCTGGAATTGTCCCAGTTAATCTGTTCATCGCAGCATCAAAACGTCGCAACTCAGTCAAATTCGACCACCCAGTCGGCAATTTTCCAGTAAACAAATTACTGTACAGCTCAATTTGAACGACACTCTTGAGCTTAAAAATCAGACTTGGTATTGGACCGGTAAATCTATTTGCCGACAAGTCAAAGTTCTCGAGTCGATTCAGCCCAACAAAACTCTCCGGTATAGGCCCCTCAAGATTACAATCACAAAGCCATAGTTCTTCAAGGTTCGTCAAATTACCAAGTTCCGGTGGGAGTCGACCAGGTGAAAACGGGTTGTAAGCAAGTTGGAGTAATTTCAGGCTTGTTATCCGACCCAGAGCAGCAGGAATGGTACCATTGAGCAAGTTCTCTGTAATTCTAAGTGTTTCCAGTTGCCGGAAGTTACCAAAACTCGACGGAATGTCGCCGGAAAAATTGTTTGCTTCAAAATTTATGTATCTGCAAATAATGATATCAATTTTAATTTACCTTATATCAAATAAAAATTACTGAAAAAGAGTATTCACACACATGTAATGACATTCCAAAAGAACACGAGAATTAAATAGTTCTTAATTATCTCATAAATCCTGATTCAAAACTCTTCGTACATACAAAAAAAACTTCAATATCATAAATGATGACAGAATAGTAAATATATTTACAATAAATTGCATTTAATACTTGCAATACTCCCACAAAAGCAAATCTGTAAAGATCCAAATTTGATTGAAATTCTTACCGGAGGAAGCGGATGTCGGCGAGACTGTAAGGGAGGGTGCCAACAAAAAGATTCTCCGACAGGTCAAGATAAGTCAGGTTCCGGCAAGACCAAATGGAGACAGGAAGTGAAGAGTTAATAGAATTGTTAGCGAGAGAGAGTCTAGATAAAGAAGGCAACCGGCAGAGGAACATTGGAAAGGGACCGGAGAGAGAAGCGCCGTCGAGGTTGACTGAAATAACCGAGTTCAGATGGTCGCAGGTAATTCCAGTCCAGTTGCATGGGGTGGCATCACGGTCGGACCAGTTGGCGAGAGAACCGGCAGGGTCGGAGAGGGAATCCTTAACTCTTAACAGGTACAAGCCTTCTTGGTTTAGTGCAGAATTTAGATGAAAACTCAGAGGAACTGTAAAGAAGAGGAGGAAAATTAAAGTAGAAGCCATAATTGGAAGGGAAGAATGATTTGAATGTGATTCGTTGGTTTATATATGGGATTAAGGATTATAGGGAAAATTGTAGCAATGTTGAACTAGTGTGTGAGGGGGAATGAGAAAAATGTAAAGTGTTTTTGTATTTTAGATTGGGGTTAAAGTTGGTGGGTTGAGAAATGCGAGTCTTGGGAATGGCAAATTTGCCATGCTTGGCGGTGATTGTTTCCCAAAAAAAAAAAGAGAAATAATTTTAATCCTCATCGAGAATTTATCCCCAGTCTATGTGGCGTTAATGTGACATTAAACCCCTGTTTGTCTACCTATTTTCCAAAAATTATTTTCTACAGTAAACAATCTCCACCACATATTCACCTNATTAATCCAAAAAATTATTTGTTACAGTAAGATGCTCCACCACATATTCACCTAATAAAATATTTTACACATAAATCAATAAAATTACTTTAAGTTTCAACCACACATTCTCCAAAAAATACTATTCATTACACCATTTAACCAACAGGGGTTAAATGATATGTGAAATTAAATAAGTGATTTAATTTCACCTATCATTTAACCAATCATTTACATTCACATAGACTGAAAAGCATTTTTCAAAAAATAAAAAGGGAATAATGATTTTTAAGAGAACGTGTAATTTAAAAATTAAAAAAATTTTGAAGTTATGTGTAGAATATATTATTATATGGTTGAAAACGAACGGAAAGAAAATAATTTTCAAATAATAGTTGTAAAACAAAAACTTTTAGTGTCACTTTTAAAATTTAGGTAAAAATATTTTACACATAAACCAATAAAGTTACTTTAAATTTCAACCACACATTCTCCAAAAAATACTATTCATTACACCATTTTCCTCCCTGTAATGGTAGACAAACAGGGCTAAATGATATGTGAAATTAAATAAGTGATTTAATTTCACCTATCATTTAACCAATCATTTACATCCACATAGACTGAAAAGTATTTTTCAAAAAATAAAAAGGGAATAATGATTTTTAAGAGAACGTGTAATTTAAAAATTAAAAAAAATTTGAAGTTATGTGTAGAATATATTATTATATGGTTGAAAACGAACGGAAAGAAAATAATTTTCAAATAATAGTTGTCGAACAAAAACTTAGTGTCACTTTTAAAATTTAGGTCCTACTTTATTGTCTCGGACCCACATACTTATGTTTCTCTACGTGTTTGAAGTGCTACGACTTGAGATTTGTTGGTCTGAAATTACCATCCTTTAATGTATTTTTGACAATTTGACACATTACATCTTCATGACGAAGAGAAAAACTCCCAAATGTAATGCGTCAAGGCGATATTATATATGTGCTGGCATCCTCTCATTGTTAAAAATGGAATGATGTATCAATATGTAGAATTACATTTCGTTATGAAATAGGAAAGGATTTAAGGGTTATGAAATCCTTTCTATATATATGTATGAGAAATTTTGCACATATAATTTCGTTAATGAATATTCAATGTTATACGTGCAGTTGATGGATAATCTCAGACTGAATTTTGAAGGCATAATAAATAACTTAAAAAGAAGTAAGAAAAAAAATATAGAATCTTGAAGTGTGAATTTTCCAGTGTTCTAAAATGCGTAATGCGTTGCGATGCGTCGAGGTCGAGAATCAAGAATCACAAATTTAAACGTGTCAATGCGGAGAATAGACGTCATAATGCGTTTCGTACTTTAAATATTATTTTAATATAATAAATAGATTTTTATATTAAAAAAATAATTTTTTATATTATATCAACAAAAAAATAAAATAAAATTGGGGCATCTCAATGCGCGCCTAGGCACACATAGGCTCTCCTGATGCGCGCCTATGCGCACATTGTTCCGCATTGGGACGACTAGGCGGTCAACAAAAATCGTTGACCGCCTAGTCGGTCAACGATGCGCGCCTGTGCGCACATTGTTCCGCATTGGGACGACTAGGCGGTCAACAAAAATCGTTGACCGCATTTTTACGCGCATTGCCCAATTTGCACGTTTTCTATACGTCTAGGCGCGCCTAAGCAGTGCATTTCCGCGCGTTTTCGAACACTTGAATTTTCTAACCTCTTGCAATATTATGTATAGAAGTATCATTTAATTTATTATGGTACGTCAATTAAAAGATCTTGTAATAATGCCAAAATAAAATTAAAATTGCATTATCATGTGTCAAAAGCTTACCCTATGAGTTATATTTTCTCCAACAAACTTTTGTTGGAAAATGGGACAATATGGTATAAAAAGACAAGGGATAGCTTTTTAAGATTATCCGAACACCTACAAATTCAGTTGAGTATAGCTAACAATTTTATCATAATAGTGGATGGAGTGTGCATCTGAGCTCGACGACCTGATATAACCTAAGATGGTTCAAACAATTGGTATCACCTTAACAATTCTATCATATTGTGTTATCGAGATAATCTCGATTAAACCGTCCGATATACCTATGCTAGGTTAATAGAAGTTACTTTATAAAATGATGAGCCGCATTCTTGACGATCTCCACCGTCCTGCCCTGAGCCTTGGTAAATGAGATAAATCGTAGGTTATGCTTTTAAAAATACATGGTGGAAGGCTGATTGTACACTTACACTTACCCAATGGCCAAATCCATATTTGAAGTTACTACTTGAAGATGTACACTGGGACGACTGATCTCTTGAATGAAGTTACTTTATAATTATGGTGGATAGAGGGTGTAAGTGTACTGCACAATGACTGTACATATCATTCCAATTCATTAACATAAGATTAACAAGAAAAAGCTATCTAAAAAAAAAAAATATAGCGAAAGAAAATGCTGCCAGCAAATTGAAAATGACAGGAATAAAAAACATTATTTATATAGGAGCTTAAAATATTCTTGTAGATAAGTGCTAGTAGTAGTCAAAAAGGAGAAGACAAATGATTGAGCAAAATGCCTTCACCAAACCGCCAATCACTCACAGTTACTTTGAACATATACTGAATTGCTGACGAAGACAAGTCTAACATTTGAAAGAAATTGAGCTTTTTGTTTTGATACAAATTTATAAATGGTTCTTATACTTAGTTAAAACCAAATTTTAATTTTAATTATATATTTAAATATTATTTATTATTATCCACACATTTCGAGTTATCCGACACTTCTTCATCTCATGAATAATTTATAGATTTGCCAAACTGAGGCTTAGTTTCATTTGTTGGCTGGATAATTCTGTATTTGAAAATTTTACGAATGATTTATAAAGAGTAATAGTAAAAAAAAATAGTAGTGGATTTTATGGAATGTATGAAGAATAATGAGTAATGGTAATAAATTAATTGTTGACGTTAATATTTGATTTTAACTGAGTTTATAAATCATTTATAAATTTATTTTCCAACTGTATTTAAATACTATCCACGACATCTCGATATAAAATAATATTAAATTTATAAATCATTTATAAATTTGTTTTCCAACTGTATTTAAATACTATCCACGACATCTCGATATAAAATAATATTAAAAAAAGGATGAACCGCATCCTTGGCGGCCCCCACCTGCCCTGCTCTGGGCCTTGGTGAAGAAGGTAAATCGCAGATTATGCCTCCAAGGGTACAGAATAGAAAACTGATTGTACACTTGCACTTACTCAAGGGCGAAATTCATATTTCAGGATTCGAACCCTTGACGCGGCAGCCTCAAGCAAAGCTAAAGTTTTTCCATCTTCCCCTTTTACCACTTGGAGATGTGCCCTGGGGGCTCGATATAAAATAATATTAATTGGACAACGACTTAGGACTCCTTGGGGAATATGGAGTTGTATTGTTATACCTCGCACATCACATGGAAATTTAAAAAACTGCTTGGAATATACATTTATACCTCCTACCACATTTTCCAAGTATAATAAATTACTAAAAAATCCCACGAATAATAACTTTATTATTTAAAAATATACAAGTTTTCTTGTGCATCTCCTTCATTCAACTTTTAGAATTAAAAAAAAAAAAAAACTAGAATTCTTGTGCACCTCTACCGTTCGACTTGTGTGCAATTCCGTCCCATTATTTTACGGTACTTTTGCTTCCTTGATATCGCGATACTTTACCGGCAATCCCTTTTCAATATTTTACTGCATTTTTGTTTTCTTGATTTCATGGTGCTTTACGGGCGTGTGACTTTTCCTCAATACATTCAAAGCGACATTAAAGAATGCAGAAAATTCTACGAGTCACAAAAGTGTTCCACTTCACTTGTCTATTCGAATGGCCAGTCTTTCTTTTGACTAAATGAACCAATTTTGACTGAGAATGAAATTTATGTAGAAAAAAGAAGCAAAAATCCAAATCAACCTACTAAAGCTGTGAAAAGATTTGAAAATTACTTCTCCTTTTGCATTTATAAACACGTTCAATAGTGGCATTTCACAATGATGCGACTCAACAAGTAAAACTGTCCAATTATCGCCTTCCATGTATACAATGTTTGGTATATTGTAATGTTGGAAAGGATGCGTTTGATGAGTCTGCACAAAGTAAGAGTATGACTCATAAAAGAACGACGAAGACTTGCCCCTCTCTAGCAATTTGCTTTCATCGTAGGATATAAATGTTGGACAAAATAATAGTAAAGTGCAGAAAAATTTATCAATAGATCGAGTCTCGTGACAGCATGATATCCTAAAACGAAATTGTCCGTCGATAACTGCTGCGACCTCTGTAGACAATCACCTCTAGGATACAACGATCAAATAAACCAATTGTGCAGCAATTACAAAATATTTTCAGAACTCTCAAGTGTACTCCAGAAATATGTAAAACTAAGAATAATATTTTTTNACATCTCGATATAAAATAATATTAAAAAAAGGATGAACCGCATCCTTGGCGGCCCCCACCTGCCCTACTCTGGGCCTTGGTGAAGAAGGTAAATCGCAGATTATGTCTCCAAGGGTACAGAGTAGAAGACTGCTTGTACACTTGCACTTACTCAAGGGAGAAATTCATATTTCAGGATTCGAACCCTTGACGCGATAGCCTCAAGCAAAGCTAAAATTTTTCCACCTTCCCCTTTTACCACTTGGAGATGTGCCATGGGGGCTCGATATAAAATAATATTAATTGGACAACGACTTAGGACTCCTTTGGGAATGGGAATATGGAGTTGTATTCTTATACCTCGCACATCACATGGAAATTAAAAAATTTGCTTGGAATATACATTTATACCTCCTACCACATTTTCCAAGTATAATAAATTACTAAAAAATCCCACGAATAATAACTTTATTATTTAAAAATATACAAGTTTTCTTGTGCATCTCCTTCGTTCAACTTTTAGAATTAAAAAAACTAGATACTTGTGCACCTCTGTCGTTCGACTTGTGCCCGTCCCATTGTTTTACAGTACTTTTGCTTCCTTGGTGTCACGATGCTTTACGGGCGATCCCTTTCCAATAATTTACTGCATTTTTGTTTTCTTGATTTCATGGTGCTTTACCGGCGTGTGACTTTTCCTCAATACATTCAAAGCGACATTAAAGAATGCAGAAAATTCTACGAGTCACAAAAGCGTTCCACTTCACTTGTCTATTCGAATGGACAGTCTTTCTTTTGACTAAATGAACCAAATTTGACTGAGAATGAAATTTATGTAGAAAAAAGAAGCAAAAATCCAAATCAACCTGCTAAAGCTGTGAAAAGATTTGAAAATTACTTCTCCTTTTGCATTTATAAACACGTTCAATAGTGGCATTTCACAATGATGCGACTCAACACGTAAAACTGTCCAATTATCGCCTTCCATGTACACAATGTTTGGTATATTGTAATGTTGGAAAGGATGTGTTTGATGAGTCTGCACAAAGTAAGAGTATGACTCATAAAAGAACGACGAAGACTTGCCCCTCTCTAGCAATTTTCTTTCATCGTGGGATATAAATACGTTGTGAAATCCTCTTCATACTTTGAATTTAATTTGAACAACCATTAACATAAATACCAAATATTATCAAGAACATGGTGGTACATAATAATGGACAGTATTATACAAAATAACGTGCACGATTTTAATTACTTTATCTTGGTTTGTATTGTCAACTTATCGAACATGTCATAAATGTCTCAAACGACTTTTTTTCCTTAATTTTGTGCAATTCCATTGAAGACTTAATCGCTGATATTTAATGATCTCATAAAAGGTAAATAAACTCAAATTTTGAATCATAGTAGGAGTATTGTGCCTATAGATTAAAATATTTAGTATGTAAAAGAAAAATGTCCTATCATGTGATAGACATAAGTTTGATTAATTATATATCATGTGGGGTGGGTGGTGGGTGGGAAACTTTCAATATTTATTATTTATTTATTTATAATAATATACTTTTAACTAATTTAACCTAAAAATTGACATTTTGAATAGTTTTCAAGAATTTTTAATTTAGTTTCCAAGTTATATATATATATAAAGTACAAAATTTGGACAAGAAGTCTATGCATCGTGTTGATAATGTCGTGTTCTTGAGCATGTGTCGTGTATATTATTAGATAACACTTCATTATATAGGAGCAAGATTTAAATTTCTTATTTTGTTGAATCCTGCGTAGTGAATCCAGTTCACTAGAATATACCAAATATTTGATTTGTAGTCATACAACAAAAATAACATTTTATAAATCTCTCAATTATACTACATTAATCTTGGACTTGGTGTTAACATATTTGAAATTTTGCGATTTAGATTTTAGGTTAGAATGCAATTTGCGTAGTATAATTGAAGACCCTACCCGCACCACACCGAAAATAAAAAAAGGAGAGAAAAAAAAGACTTCCCCAACTCGATCAACCCGTCTCATCACCACATGGCACATAGTTTTTAGATCCTTCATTTTCAATAATTGTTGATGTCTCCTTCTAGAATGAACTCCTTGATTCGTCGCCCTGACCACCGCCGGTCTCCAAATATGCAACTCACGTGAATAACCGTGCACATGCGTGCATCCATGACATGGAAAATGATTTAGTTGAGATATTATTTCTTTCATGTGTGAATGGTCGTACTCAGAGTATTCTGAGATCAATAAGAAAACCTTTGAGATCAATAAGAAAAGCTTGATTTTTTAAAACCAGACCATTTTATTTGTTCACCTAAAAAATGTGCCAACAGAATTTCGACTATCTCCTCTCTACGTAGACATCACTTACACATCGAAACACCTCATTACGGGGCAAAATTCGCAAGTCGAGAAAAATGTCCGACGATCGTTTGCACTCGGACGGTCAAATCGACGACTGGACGAGAGAGAAAATGAGTACAAGAAACAGGAAATAGGGTTTGGTTACGATTAGAAAATATGCCTTAATTGTAAAATGTATCACATATATATAAGAAAATGCAAATGGGCCATGTGGATAAGTGGGTCAAGCCTAAGCCCAAAATGCAGTTCCTTAGTTTAATAGGCTCAATTCAATTAAATAATAGATGTTGAGTCAACCAATGTAGGATCTCCTCCATCATGCATATGCATGTGTAACTTAGACACCAAATTGGAATCGAATCAAAACCGACTGATTCTTAGTTCTAAAACTAGAACTATTTAAAATGTAATTCAAACCAATCGATTCTAGTTCAATTGGTCAAAGATGATGAATATTGTCAATTACATATCTTGCATGTGTAACTTTGACAAAATATGATTTTAACGGACAATATTATGACTATATTAATGCTTTTAATTGTGTTCCCCGTTCCATAATAACAATAAATCAGCATGCAGAAAACCAGAGTGAAACCACCTTTGTATTGCCAAAATTTAGGTAACTTCTTGTTGGTGTGCATCAAATGAATGATTCTTGTTAAGGGTTGAATCCACATTGATTAATGATAGAAATATTGATCGAGATATTTGATATTATGTTTAAAAGCTCAACGAGCATTCAGGTTACAAGATTGATGTGAAATTGTGCCCAAAAGAATGTGAAAATAAAATAATTATGGACGAAGAAAATACAAAGAAAGATAAAATAAACCAATACACGAATGTTGGATACTAATTGCGCGAGAGAGGGAAGCCAACTCCGTGCCGTTTGGAAGGGAAAACAATGAACAAAATGCTGCAAACTACCCCAATGGTTATAGGCAATGCTTTAAGAATCTCAAGGGCTTCTTCTGATGGTGATGGATAGAAACAATTGATCACATTCTTATCGAACATTGCCACCGCCCCGAAAACAAGAATCGACATGAATGCATGGACAAAATCTATGAACTTTAGCCTATATTTGTCTGCATCTTGTGGTGGAAATGTTTTTGATCCATCAATCACCCACAGGCTACGGAATGTGGCTAATCCGTACCTGACCTTTCCTCGGTCGTCCCTGAAACTGTCGGTAAAGCACAAGAGAAAACAGGAAACGGCGCAAAGAGCAAGAACACATGATGTAACGGATTGGCTGACGAAAGATTTGCATTTTCCTTCGTGCGTTACAACTGGGGACAAGAATTGGAATGTCAGGACAGAGCCTGTGGGGAGAAGATTCGACAAATGGGCTGTTCCCTTGAAGGCTTTACGGATGCCCTTTTGCGCCGGGGTTTTGGGTGGTTTTGGTGCAGCCTCAAGGAGAGGCGATTCCAATTGTTCTGCAATAGTCGCCTCACCATTTCTTGTTCCATCTGCAACGTGAACGTCCATTGAAATATAATCTCTTGTATTTTTTGTTTTGCGAGTCTTTTTTTCAAGATTTTTGAGCATGCATGAATTGATTTTGTTGGGTATATAGAGGATATATATTATCTAGCGACTTGTTTTGTGGGGTGGCGGAAGGAGTGGGGGTGGGGGTGTTAAGAGACAGGTTGTATTAGTTTTAGGGAAGAAAGGAGGGTTGTTGGTCAGCACATATGGAGATTTTTAAGGGTTTTGGAAATGGTTCAAGAGAGAGTTATCTAGTGTCATAAATAAGGAGTTTCAACAACTTAGCTAGCTTTTATTAGGTTTTTAATGACCCTTAGATTAAGAAAATTTTGTTATATTACACTCCCTCAAAAATAGTTTTTGTTCGAAAAATAAAATTTACTCCCTTGATTCGAATTGGATGATATTGACACAAATTGTTTACCCCATTAAGAGAATCAAGCACATTGATAATTGTAACCACTTGGGGGGTGGCCAGAGCTTGCCTGGGCGGTGCTGGAGGTGGTGGTAACGTCAAACAATTTTGCAACATGTATATCAAATTTGATAGCTTGGTCCACATCATTTGATGTAATAGACATAATGGTAATTGAATTTAACAATACTCAATTAAATCAATAGTCGATTTTTTATACATAGGAGTGTCAAACTTGATGTACAAGATTAATTCGACGCCAAATTTCACATAAATTAGAGGAAGTTGCGTCAGAAACCAATTTTATTATTTATGATTGCCTTTTCTTCGCCTCATGCTTGTTAACCGTATCTATTTCGTTATTTTATAAGTTTCGAATTACATTTTAATTCATAAATTTTAAATATAAATTTATTGGATCTTTCCAAATATAAAGAAATAAGATATTATGTAGATAAATCTTTGCTCTTTCCCTTTTATTATTAAAGAATATTGAAAAATTTACCTTGAGTAAATAATCTTTACATAAATTCACAAATATTTATTTGTCACGTTAAATTTTTATAGAAACTTTTGGTAGCTATTTAAATATTAAAAATTTGGATCATTACATTATGAAATCAGGGTTTAGGTCTCACTTTCTCTAGACCCATTTAGACTTTAAAGTTAAAAAAAAAAAAAAAAAAAGTAAGAATTTGATATTAATATTAAATGTCAATGTTTCTACGTGCCATAAATGTCTATTTGTTTAGTTCTAACTATTCGTGATACGTGTTAATAATTTATGATTTTTGTATAAATGAGTTTACAGAACTACGTAATTTTTTGTAAAGTTTCTAAACATGTTATAGTATGAAAGATTCTTGGCACGCAATGAACAGTTATCGACCACCCTCCGATAACTCTAATGTACGTAATGTGAGTAAGGAATGAAATGATTATTAATTTTTTTTTTTGTGTAAATGTACATTTTATACTAGTCCCCTTATAAATTTCATGACATGCATGTTTTCCATCACTAAATTTATGATTTATATCACAACTAGAGCACGATTCCTTTACTTGTATATGCGAGCATGAAATTAGTTATGTTACCATGACAAAAATGTAAGCATGATATGTTAGGCTTAATGATTGGGTGGACAAATGACTTATCCCCATAGGGACCAAAATAGAATTGTACTATGATGCATCCAAGATTGGCATAAGGATGCGGAGTTTGACACCGGATATTCAGAACTTTCCAATTATTCAAATAAAATTTCGAGGACGAAATTATTTTAGGGAGATTTTTTTTGTTCTATATGCTATATTCTTATAATTTTGGTAAGTGGATACGCTGAAGTGAAAGAGTATTACATTCATTTGTAATTGAGCCAAATAATTATATTTTGATAGAGCATGATAAAGACAGCAATATTGGGCTCGTTTGGTAGTTCGTATGAAATGACACGACATGGACTCGAGAAATAGTTATTTCGGATAAGTTAAGCAAATGTTATTGAAGTTGAAAGAAATTATCTTTGATTATATAATTAAATGAGTTGGTCAAGGATTTAAGAATCTTGGCAGCCCATAAATATTTATCCTATTTTGATAAGTTTAATTTTAATCTTAATTGGATTATGATAAAGTAATAGTAATCCTAATTAAACTAGGATATATTTATTTTTCACATCCCCAGTCAATCTTTATTTTTACGTTTCCTTTTTCTAAAATTCTATTTGAGGATTATTTATGAAGTTAATCCATATTATATTGATAAGTGATGGCAAATTGATTATGGATAATTAATACAATTATTGTAGTTAATTCCAAACCCAACTTGATTAGGATAAATTTTAAAACTAAGTCTAAATCAATTGGGATTCAACAATTAAACCATACTAAATCGATTGATTTTCTCTTACCACAATTTATCCCTTGAATTTTGCAAATTTGTTAATTCTCTTGCCTAAGATTATGAATGGCTCTTTGAATGTGTGGGAATTCCAGGCTCATCTGAAGAGATATTTTATACACAAAAATCCTAAATCAACATGGGTCATAACAAAACAATCGACGGTAAAATCAGGATTTCTTGTTTGGAGGGGCAACAGTCGATGCAACGGTAGCTAACACATTGCGACATTACAATAATAAATGATAAACCTTACAGTGTACATTAGAAACAAAAATTGATTTGTCGAACTATAGCTGAACCAGTCGATTAAGTTTTCTGTGTTCAGCATGCAGTGCAAGGATTAATGTTCAGTAGAACTCCTCGTACCTAAACATGTTTATACATCTGAAACAAAAAGATTAAACGTGTTTTTTAATTGGAAGGTGAGAATATCTAATCTATTCAGGGTAAATTTCATTTTGCTGAGCACCTAAAACAATCCTTTTTCTTATTTTTCTGAATTTTAATTTAGATAATTTTGGTTTGAAGAAAATTAATTTTTTTTCTCGTTAAAATATTACAACTCAATAATATTTTGAACAAATTAAAATAAAAGGTTAAATAGAAAAAAAAGGATTACTATTTTCAACAATAAATGTTACATGAAATCTATTTTCAACTCAATACTATTCTATTCTGTGCTCAGCATGCAGTGCAAGGATAAATCTGTTTTATATGTAATACTGTTGGAAGAATGAGAAAATAAATTAAATTTTTAGTATTTTGATAAAAAATGATGATATGTGTGCTTGAGAAATTAATAAAAATTGTAAATCACAGATCGAAAATGAATTTAATAAAAATAAAATTTTAAAAAATGACGACCAAATGTGGACTAAAATTTCTTCAACTTTTTTTAACGTGCCCTCAATGACCACATTGACGTGACAATTCTTGATTGGATAATAAATGGCCTATAAAATTGTGGTCAATAAAACTCTCACGTTTATGGCCTCATTTTATGCATCTACCACTCTTAAAGATAGTGCAACACCACATGCCAACTTGATAGTTCTTCAAATAATTAATTATTTCCATTCAGAAAGACCATGGATGCCAAAAAAAAAAATTAGGTTGGGGACTTGATTGCTACTATCTTCAATTAGGGGACCTCCACTGCAATTTTCTTATTCATGGATAGAGTCCACACAAAAGCAAACGCGTGTTTGATTCTCACCGTATAAGCCTCCAAAATTGCTACATATAGCTGGTCTAGGTACAGATTAAAATCCATTTCAACGAGATTTCTCATTCTTCCAACAGTAAATTAAACCCAGTAGACAAGTGGGATGCAAGAAAATAATTTGAGTAATGTTATTTACAGTGAACGACTACAGTAGTTAACCTATATGGCATATAGAATGACGACGATAGTTGCTCACTATAAATAAAATTACTCTAAGAATTTAACTAAGAAGAACGAAAAAAGATACAAGAATTTAATTCTCCACATTCATGCCTACAATTTTGATATTAGCGTTAAATTTCTTGGCTCACACACACTCGTGATTTTGAAGTCTACAGTTTCATGTGATCGAATTATGTTTCATGTTCATGATTGATATTTGAACTAGTAGCTAATGATTCTGACATCTAACCATATGCATTAACACCCTGACAAGAAAATAGCCAAACGCGGAAAAAATATTTATTATTTGAAAGCTAAGACCGAAGAATATTAAAATCAAAGACTTGTAAATTCAAGCCAAGTCAATATTGGAGTGATAAGCTTCACTCCTCTAATATAAAGCAACAAGCATCTCTACTACACAAGTTCTGCATCTTATATTTACATTGCAAGAAACTTTTTTTAATTCATAGTGATATATATCAAATCAACCATGGGAAAGAATGTGATCTTTACGTTAATGGCAATGTTCTACGTGGTTCTTTGTGTCGCTGCATCTTTCAATCGCTCCACTGATGAGTCTGCTCTTCTTGCCTTCAAATCTCAAATAAATGATCCCAACAAAATCTTGTCTTGGTCTCAAGGAATTCCTTTTTGTTCTTGGATCGGCATTACTTGCGGTCGCAAGCACCAAAGAGTTGTAGGCATAAATGTTTCACATATGGGCCTAGGAGGGACTATTGCTAAAGAAATTGGAAAACTCACTTTTCTGAAATCCTTGGATATTAGCAATAACAGTTTCCATGATTTCATCCCTGATGAAATTGGTAATATTTCGAGGCTCCAAGAAATAAAGATGCAATACAATGAGTTAAATGGTCAAATTCCTAGTAGTTTTGGATTTCTTAAAAATCTTCAAAAGTTAAATCTCTCTGGAAACGCTTTCACTGGAGATATTCCAAACATGGTGTTCAACCTCTCTTCTTTGGTAGAGATTGACTTAGGAAACAACAGACTATCTGGAAGTCTTCCGATGGATATCTGCAGTAATCTTCCAAAGTTAGAGATTCTAGAGATTCCACTGAATCAAATAGGTGGCATTATTCCTCCGAGTTTGGGAGGATGCACCAAGCTCAAGCAACTTTCTTTGAAAATGAATAATTTAAGGGGAGGCATTCCAATGGAGATCGGGAATTTACCACAGCTTCAAATTCTCTTTCTAGAAAAAAATAATTTGACGGGTATGTTTCAAACTTTTCTTCACATAAACTTAGTACCCTCACTCCCCTGCAATAAAAGACATTAAGGAATTAGCAATGGATTATTCAACATTTATATATTGGTGTCTATACACTTAATGTGGTGAGATATGATTATGTCAGAATTTAATCAAATAAAAAATAAATAAATTTTCCACTCTCTTCTTGACACCTTATTCACTTCATCTATTTGTAAAAATTTTGTTACTCCTTATTTACAAGTAGCATTATTATTGTTAAAAAGTTTAACTTAATGTGGATTTTCTTCAATGTTTTGTGAAGAATGTCATATTTGAATTTTTTTCTTCAATATTTTAAAATATTTATTTCCTTACATGAACTAATTGATAAATCAATTTGTAGCTATAAATAATTAAATAGTTTAGTGAAGGTTTTCCTAAAATGAATAACTATTGTTAGAATTACATGAAAAAAAAAATAAATTAAAATATGTTTACCAATTATTATTTAACTAAAGAAATTTGAAATATGAAGCATTTGGACATTACTTTTAAGATTTTTACATTTTTTACTGTGCAGGAAGTATTCCTGACTCAATTGGAAACTTATCTACGCTTCGTTTATTAGATATGGGTTACAATGGCTTCACAGGTACATTAGCCATCTCTTATTTTGTAGTCTGTTTTAACTAATCTATGTCATTTTAATTTCTTAAAAATCCTCGCAGGTACTATTCCAATTTCAATAGGCAACTTGTCGAATTTGGAGGTTTTTGGAGTTGCTAATAACAACATTCAGGGGTACATTCCATCAGAATTGGGAAGTCTATCCAATTTAATATGGTTAGATTTTTCCTATAACAAACTCGAAGGTGAAATACCTGAATCTATCTTCAACCTCACCAAGTTACAGATAATTAATCTAGTATCCAATTATATAACTGGCAATCTTCCGTCAATAGTTGATAGACTCCATAATCTTCGGTATATTGCTCTGGGTTTTAACAAATTAAGTGGTGAAATTCCTAGCTCTATTTCAAATATTTCGAACCTTATTTTGTTGGCGCTTGGTTACAACTCATTTAGTGGACCTGTACCCGTGAATCTTGGGAATTTACAAAACCTCCAATTTCTAGGGTTAGCTGGTGATCAGTTGACAAATGATCCTTCAATGTCGGAATTGGGTTTTCTTATTTCATTGAGAAACTGTAGGCACTTGAAATACATATCAATTGGATCCAATTCTTTTGATGCAATGCTACCAAAATCTTTTAGCCTAGGCAATTTGTCAGCATCTCTTGAAAAATTTGAGGCTAACTCTTGCGGTATCAGAGGCACGATTCCCAATGAAATCGGTAATTTGAGCAACTTGATCTCCCTGCATATGGGAAGCAATAAGTTGAGAGGGAGAATTCCAGAGACGCTGGGAGAACTAAAGAAGATGCAATCACTCGCAATTGATAACAATAAACTGGAGGGGCCGATACCTGTCAGCTTTTGCAAATTTGAAAATTTGTACAGCATAATATTAGAGAAAAATGAGCTCTCTCAAGAGATACCGGGGTGTTTAGGGAACCTTACATCCTTACGAATGGTTAACTTATCTTTCAATAGGTTCACTTCCACTATCCCATCGTTGTTTTGGACTAACAAGGACCTTGCTATTGTGGACTTGTCTTACAATTTACTCGGTGGTTCTTTGCCATTAGAAATTGGCAGTGTGACGGGAATGAGAGAATTATATCTATTGGGAAATCGATTCACAGGTGATATTCCCAGCTCTATTTGGGGGAGACTTCAAAGTTTGGAATTTCTAATATTGGCAGAAAATAAGTTACATGGTCATATACCTGAGACATTTGCTAATTTGATTGCATTGCAATCTTTAAATCTATCTCAAAACAATCTCTCTGGTGTAATTCCCAAGTCACTCGAATCACTTCGGAATCTTGTGTATTTTAATGTTTCATTCAATGATCTCAGTGGTGAAATTCCGAATGGAGGATTTTTCAAGAACTTGAAAGCCGATTCTTTCAAGGGAAATAGAGAATTATGTGGAGCATCTCAATTCGAGGTCTTTCCCTGCAAAGGTAATAAATCCAGCTGCACAAGATTTTTGAAATATATTGTACCACCAGCTGCCTTTGTAGTAGCTTTAGTCATTATTCTAATGGTATGTTTAGTTAGACGTGGTAAAAGCAGTACGCCTCTTCCACCTCAGTCTAGTTTCCCTTTTGCCTTTGGCGACAATAGGATTTCATATCATGAAATTGTTAAGGCAACCAATGGCTTTGGCAAAGACAATCTGATCGATAGAGGCAGTATCGGTTCAGTATACAAGGGGATATTTTCCAATGGGATAGTCGCTGCTATTAAAGTTTTTGATTTGGATATGGAAGATGCAAACAAGAGCTTTGATGTTGAGTGTCATATAATGTCCAACATTCGTCACAGAAACCTGGTCAAGGTAATTAACAGTTGCTGTAACCTTGATATCAAGGCCTTGGTGCTAGAATACATGCCTAATGGAAACCTGAACAATTGGTTGTACTCTTGTGACTCTGGCCTAAATATTGCTCAGAGAATGGAAATAATGATGAATGTGGCAGATGCACTTGAATACCTACATCATGGGTATCCTTCCCCTATTGTCCACTGTGATTTGAAACCTAGCAACATACTTCTCGATGAGGATATGGTTGCACGAGTAGGAGATTTCGGCATTGCCAAACTATTTACAAAAGATCAGAGAATTTCACTGACAAAGACTTTGGGAACAATTGGATACATGGCACCAGGTAAAATTTCTTTCGACTATTGTTAACTTTTACTCATACAAGTATACTTAAATGTCATGATACAAGTGCATTACTGTATAAGCATCCATCTTACCTCATATAGTCATATATTTGTGGCCTTTGTTCTACACGTGATATGCAATTTCACAATGCCACCTATGAAAGGTCAATAAAATTCAGGCAGATATTTGAAGCTTTACTTTTTCAATCTTGTTCCTACTTTCAAAAAATAAAAAATAAGCAAACAAATAATAGAACTAAGTTTTATTGTTGTATTATTTCAAATGCTGAATCAAATTATATTTAACAGCTTAAAGAGAATTGAAGTTGTAAATTCTAAAGAACTTGTGAGGATTGCTCATTTTAAGTACTTCCTTACGTATGATTAAGTATATATAACCATGTTCTACTTCTATCATATGTCTTCTTTTGTTCATTTCTTTTGTTAGTTTGATCACGAGTGCCATTTTTGTAGAGTATGGTTCCAGAGGATTAATATCAACTATGGCGGATGTTTATAGTTATGGGATTCTGTTGATGGAAGTACTCACAAGAAAGAAACCGACAGACGATATATTTGTAGGAGAGTTAACAATGAGGAGATGGGTGTTCGAATCATTTCCAGATGCTATAATGCAGATAGTGGATGTGGATGTACTGAAAGGAGAAGAAAACGTCAATGCTAGAGAGAGTTGCTTGAAATTACTCATGGGACTAGCTCTGGAATGCACGGTTGATTTGCCAGAGGAGAGGCTTAATATGGAAGAGGTAGTAGTAAGACTCAAGAAAATCAAAAATGAATTCCTCTCTTAGCATAAGGCCAAAGTATGTTTCTTAATAGACAGTAATCATATGTATTTCAAAAGCTTATGTCATTGTAAACTGTAATTGCGCAATAGTAGTAACTATATGAAACTAATGTGGAAGTATTAGACTATGTTTGTGAATTATTTTGTAGTGTTAAAACTGTAGAAGAATGACAAAGATTTGAATCGCCATGTTACCTAGTATCCTCCTCTTCTTCCTCCTATATAATCTCTGAAAATTTAACCACTTCCTCTAATAAATTTCTTGAAAATGTAGTAAATGAAATCCATAGATTGTTTCATTGAGACATCCAAATTGAACTTTATCTGTTTTTTGGGAAGTGTAAGTAGTTACAAAGTAAATATAGAATGTAGAAATTATTGTTGGCTGACTAATTTTCAGCCAAGATAATATTTATGAGAAGAAAGGTTGAGATGAGCTAAAAATTGGGATACATAGAGATTTATTCCAATTTACCTTAGAAAAATATTTATAATGGTTAATTCAATTCAGATTTTGAAAGACTTTTTATATTTTTTTGTAAGTGAATGACTTTTGTAGAATTTAATGATCTTTTATTGACTTCTATATACTTTTATAGTATCAATTAAAGTTTTCGTAGACTTCTATTGATTTTAATCAACTTTTAAATTTATTTGAACGAAATAAAGACTTCCTATCCTAGTCAGATTTCGACCTCCTTAATTTAATTGAATTTATTATAAAATATAGAGAAAATAAAAGAAAAGAAAGATGATCAATAGACTTGTACAAATTTTATTGAGAGTAGAAGTTTTATATTTAGATAAGAAATAGGATGTAGAGATACAATATCATAATAATTAGGGCAGCAGAATAGTAATAATAATTAGTGCAGCATGAATATTATAGTCACTCAAAATTATAATTTTTAATTTACAACACTCTTTGGTGAATGACTAATTACTTAATATGCGTCTCATTAAAAATCCCGTTTGATAAAACTCATTGAGAGCACAAAGAATCGTATCATAATGTTTTATTTCATGGTTCTTATTATAATACCTATTATTACTAGTGTGTGCAGGGACGGATGTAGGGGGATTGGGCTGGGCTATAGACCGGTCCAGTTCCCGGCCCATTTAGTTTTTTAGGTGTAATTTTTTTTTTTTTTTTATGTAAAATCAATTTTTTATGTGTAATTTTTTGTTTTCATTTAGTCCAACTTGAAAATTTTTTTTAGTCCGATTCTAGATCCAGGCCTGAATCCGCCCTGCCTTCAACTGTCCCACCATTACACACATTCACCCTAGTTACTATCGTCCTCTCTCCTGTCTCATTGTGTACTTTGCGACTGTCCCTATAGGGAAGGTGGGGTTGGAGTTGTGATGAAAAAGTGTAAATGAAATTATTTGAAAAATTAAAAACCCTTCTTTCATGTATCTCAAGTTAGGTATGATAAACATGATGTATAATGCGGACAAAAAAAATAAAGAAAAAACACCTAAAAGTGGAAAAAAAAAAAAAGGCATGTCACAAGATAGGAACTAGGAAGGTAAAATAAGTACAACGTGTTTGGACTCATTGTGAACGTTAATAAAGGTCTCTCTCTCTCTCTCGCCTTTGCTTTTCGCCTTTTCCTCAACGTTCGGTAGCCAGACTTCTTTAATTATATTATTAGTCAGTCCCCATTAAAATAAATTTCAAATGACAAACATGTCCCAATATCTATGAGAATTTTAATTACTTCCCATTTAAAATCAATATTTTCGGCACGTTAATCCATTAAGAGTCAATTTGGTAGGATTTCTGCTTCTTATGAAATAACTTATTGAGAAAAATTATCTTAAATTGACTTTCATTAAAAACGCTTATAATCGGACAAAACACTTCTCGAAAATTGTGCAAACAAGTTCAGAAATAATTTTTTATTTTTCAAAGTCTTACCAAACGACTCAGCGATAGAGCGTGTTTACTTCTTATTTTTGACATTGAATAATTTAAGTTGCTTTTTATTTTCCAAAATGATTCTTGAAGAATAAAGGTTACAATTCCTTTTTAACCTTTTCCCCTCAGGGTGTGTTCGGTAGAGATTAAAATCGGATTAAAATTGAAAAATTAGTTGTTATTGTTGACTTTTATTAGACGAGTGAGATCCAATAACGATTATATTTTCAATTTTAATTGAATTTTAAGTTCTACCAAACAAGCTC